AGAGTGAAAGTGAAAGAACTCGCCGGTTGAGATCAAAAATAGACCAAAGTAAAGTAACAATAATAGCAATTAACTGTAGTAAAAACAGGAACAACAATAATAAAGCAATCAAAGTTATACTCGGCTTACAAACAGCAGTTGCTGGCTGTGTGCCAATGAAAGCATGCTAGAGGAGAGGGAAGCCTCATGAACATATGTATCAACGACCTGGACAAAGAGATTTGAGTGCTCCCTCAGTCAGTGTGCAGGCCATGCTAAGCTGGGTGAAGCGTTGATCTGCTTCAAGGCTGAAAGGCTCTACAGAGGAGCCTGGACAGGCTGGATCAATGGGCTGAGGCCAACTGTTTGAGGTTAAACCAGGCCAAGTACCGGGTCCTGCATTTGGGTCACAACAACCCCATGCAGCGCTACAGGCTTGGGGATGAGTGGTTGGAAAGCTGCTTGGCAGAGGGGAATCTGGGGGTACTAGTCTATGAACAACTGAACATGAGCCAGCAGTGTGCCCAGGTGGCCAAGAAGGCCAACAGCATCCTGACTTGTATCAGAAAGAGTGGTCAGCAGGACCAGGGAAGTGATTCTTCCCCTGTACTCGGCACTGGTGAGGCCACGTCTCAGATACTATGTTCAGTTTTGGGGCCCACACTACAAGATGGACTTTGAGGCACTGGACTGCGCCCAGAGAAGGGCAAAAAAGTTGGTGAAGGGTCTGGAGCACAAGTCCTGTGAGAAGAAGCCAAGGGAGCAGGTGTTGTTTAGCCTGGAGAAGAGAAGGCTGAGAGGAGACTTTATCACTATCTACAACAATGTGAAAAGAGATTGCAGTGAGGTGGGTATGGGGCTCTTTTCCCCAACTAGTGAGAGAGACGACAACATGAAATGTCCTCACGCTGTGCCAGGGGAGGTTTAGATTAGATATTATGAAAAATTTCTTCACTGAAAGGGTTATGAGGCATTGGAACAGGCTGCCCAGTGAAGTGACTGCATCACTATCCCTAGAAGTATTTAAAAGGCGGGTAGATGAGGTGCTTAGAGACATGGTTTAGCAGTGGACAAGTTATAGTTGGACACAATGATCTTAAGCATTTTTTCAAACTAAATTATTCTATGATCCTATGAACTGAATGAGTTAGATAAGACAGCCACTATTTGAAAAGAGAGGGTCATCCCAAGTAAACTCGCTGATTTATAGCGTGTGTGGCGATTATGGCATAGCATACATTCTGTTGGTCAAATTGGTTCACAACCAGCTCATCTGTCCTGGGTCAGCTATCCCAGAAGACCCCAGGCTTTCACTTCCCAGTCCATCCTCTTGTGCAGAGAGAAGGGAAAAGGGGAAAAAAAAAAATGAACACAGGTACAGGCAAAGACTAAAACCCAGCCCCTGAGATGACTGATGAGAAACGTTCCTAACCATGAAGTCACTTTGTCCTTAATTGGAGAAGGGGGCGTGCATTCCTTTCAAAAACCCGCTTCTCGACTTTCACAGACCCTGTGCATTTGCTTCTTTTCTTGGGTTTGGCAAAGCAGAGTGGGTGCTGATGGAGAAAGAGTAGGTGTACTGGAGTGTCGCGCTGGGGCTTTTTTGTATTCCCTCATCATGGTATGATAGATGTGGATTTGCAAAGTCACTTCAGGAGCAGGAGGAGCTTCTAACTGCCAGCAAGTGGCGACAAAAAGTGTTTGGAGTCCTTGAGGGAGGAGGAGTGTTGTGGCAGCATTTAGGAAACACTGTAGGAATTCCATGTGGACGTGGGAGGAGAAAAGAGGGAGAAGTAACATGGGTTTTGCGAATTGCCGTGAGAGTCAAAGCAGTCCACAGCTTTTTAATCAAACCAAAGCTGACTACTGGGGATTCTTCTTGTGCTTTGACAGCCGCAGGAATTGAAGGAATGACGTACCTGGACTCAGTGTTATGCCAAGTCCCTGAAGAACGACTTAAAGAATAAGGAGAGGGAACTAACTCACAGGCACCTGCAGGGCCTCCTGGCTTCGACTTCTGGAGCTGCTGCTATCCTGAAGCTGCATGAACGCATAAAACGGTAAGGAAGTAACGCAGAGGAGCAAGGCTTTTCTTTCTGTGATTGTGTGAAAACAATAGGATTGTCTTCTTGCATCCCAGCGAGACAATAATACACCATCATCAAAGATGCTTGTGTTTAGATGAGGTTTGTGTAGATGAGGTTCTTTCACACTCTTCTCCTGGGATTTGTGCTTTTGGGCACTGCTGTGATGAAGCCTGTCCTTTTTCAGGGTCCAAATTGAAAATGCCTCACTGGAAGCCACAGCTCGGCAGCAAGCCAAGGCCATCAAATCCCTCCTGAAGGACCTGCAAGCCTCTGCCTCAGTAAGCCAGTCAAAGCCATCCCTTGTCATCAGCTCCAGTGCTGAGTTCTGTATTCACGTGTGGAAATTTTAAGACAAGGTTTTTCTGGAGAGCCGAAGAGAGAGATCACTTCCTCTGTTCTACTGCCTAGAGGCTGCTCTGAAAGTCCTGCTGGCCCATTCCCCAGCTTTCTGGCTTTGAGGGTTGTCCCATGAGACTATAGCAAGTCCTACTTAGCGCTGTCTTTCTTAGGGAGTTGTTGACAGTCATGCACTGGCTTAAGTGTTTTCTGCTTTACACCAGTCTTGAGGTTGAGACCTCAGGCAGCACCCCACACAGTCATGCCACAGAGGTGATTTGGTACCTTCAGGTGCAGACTTTCCTTGGACCTCGGTGGTGCCAAGCACTTCATCCTGGTGGAGGCCTGACTGGCATCAGCAGGCCGTGACAGGGCCTCTTCAGTTGCCTGAACTCTGGTCACCTTCCTGCTTTATTGACCATGGACTACTTGGCCAGAAGGTGTGGGTCCATAATGCAATGTGAAGCCCTCCAGAGGAAAATCCACAACTTAAAAGGGAACGACACCTCCACAGGCAGTATTTTGTGTGCTTGGGCAGCGTTGCGGGGCAGGATAACACTCTCTTTTACTGATGGTGGCAAGAGAAGAAGAAAGGCCTAGAGTGACTTCTCTTGTCTTCTTTTAATGCTGCTGTAGGCTTGCAATAGCCAGAAGGACTTGGTAACTGGCTTTCAGACAACACAGACTGCAACGGAGCACCACGTGTGTTCATCAGCACAATTCCTTTGATGAGTAGGCTGTGTGCTGTGGACTGGAGAGAGATCTCTGGTGGAGAGCTGCGAGAGTGCAGCTTAGCCTGCTCATGGCTTCTTTTTGCCTGACAGGTTGTGCAGTCTCCAAGCTTGGAGGTGCTCCAAACTGGATGTGGCCCTGTGCCACCAGCCCTGCCTGGCCCTGCTTTGAGCTGGGTGGGGATGGATGAGATGAGGCTCCTTCCAGCCTCAATGATGCTGTTGCTTTCAAGGCACAGTCCTCTCCAGTGACCCAGAAATCTCACACTGCAGGTCTGGTTTTATTTGACTAGACCTCCTGCCTGCTTTATTGAGCCCTTTGCCCAAGACTGACGTCATCTTCACTGTTACTGTCATCTGCCCTACGCTACTTCCAACAGACAAAACAGCAGCAAACTGTATCCAACACCTCCAGCCACAAAGATGGCAGTAACTTTCTCAGACACCAAGCCATGGGTTGAGGTGTGATGCCACCAAGGAAGAATGGTCGTAGTTAGCCAAGCAAATCTTTATTTCCTGCCCCCAGTTTAAGTCCTGGAAGTGAAGAACCATCAGGCTCCAGCTCTGGTTGGGCAACAGTGGAAGCTGCCAACAATGGAACTCCTGATCTTGGGTACTGCAGGGTGAGAGACAACTCCAGTGACAGAGAGCACTTTACAGGACCAGACTGGTTCTGGCCCTCCCCACTCCTATTCATCAGCTAGCTGCTGGGCATTCTGTAGCTTCTGCTCTCTTACACAGGCCTTTCAGAAAGTCTGACTCAAGTTCTCAGCCTCTAGTTGGTGGCAGATATCACAAGGGAACACAATACATCCGAATGAACACAACTATTTTTGTTTCTTGATCTCTTGCACTGGTTCCTCTCAATGTGCAGATGTCATTGTCGGAGGCAGATGTTGAAAGCACAAGGGTCTCTTCTCCATGCAGGAGGCTTTCTTGGCACACCGCTGCCCCAGCCACCCTCCATCTTTTGCAACAACTGAACAGAGCACAGGAAACAAATGCAAGGGAATATTTTCTTTTTACGAAAAAAAAACCAACAGCCAAAACAAAAAAAAGCACAACAACAAATGCTATACTGAAAGAATACTCTGGTTTTGCACTGGCCTTTCCACTTTGAACCATCTTATCACCATGCACCGTGCTGCCTCATACATGCCTCCTTCAGCCTCACATTCTTCTGCAGAACCCCAGACGTGATCCCAGCAGCTGCCTAATGACATGCTACTCAAGACTCCCTAACGGAGAGAGTCCAGCTGCCACGGTGGGTCAGTGGAGACTTATTTTTCAGTGCTGCCACTTATCTGGTCCCATACTGGCATTCTATTGCACAGTGGTTTGGCAAAGTATTTGTCAAGAGGCAAAAGCTACAATGACAAGAGGAACTTGTTCCTGTCGAGTTAATACTGTTTTTGTCCAGTCCTTTGCTTTTTCCTTTCATCATTGTGCAGATTTTTGAGCCAGTAAGGTTGTTAATTTAATCTTCCCATCCATAGAGGCAGTGAGGCAGGTCCCACAGTCCATGGCTGTGCTCCAGTCCACTGTGACAACAGGGGCTCGGTGTCCTCCCAGAGAAAGGCAGCTCTCCAGGACCCTTTCCTCACCGTTCAACTAAAAGAAGGAAAGCATAAGATTTTAAGGAGGCAAGTTTCTGCAGTGCAGGCAGTGTCACCCACAGACGAAGCCAAAGCCTGCTACAGACTCCATGTCCCTTTCACCATACATAATTAAGTAGAAAAATCAGAGAGATATAGAGGTGTATGAAGTACAGATGAGGAAAATTCCCAGTCTCATGACATGTGTTCTCAAGCAGCTCAGCTTCTGGCATCAGCTGAGCTGCACTAATTGAACCAGGCATGGTAAAAGCACACACTAATGAGGAGCACATAAGGCTAAGATATTGCTCATGTTACTGTGGGTACTCTGAATGCTCCATCTAATCTGCCTTGCAACGGCTTATATTGATGGGTACTGACTTAAGAGGCGGCATGCAAAGGGCATGTGATCAGTAACCACTTGTTACTGCAGCACAGAAATTTGGGTACTTTGAACCATTCAGCCTTACCCTTCATTTCAGTACACAGCTTAAGAATCAGGCTGGGACTAGCATAACACCAGCAAACACATAAGGCAGATTAAAGATGAGCATTAGTCAACAATCTGACATTTTGCATCGAACTGGCATGCATCAATATATTAAAAAAAAATAAAAGTTTTTCCTAGGCACTTGAATACTAAGGAAAACTGCTGCAGCTAATCTTTAAGATCAAGAAGCACACATACTCTGTCTACATACAGAGGGCAAAACGCTACTTGCTAGACATCACACATTGCTAAAATGCACACTGTATGAAACTGAGCAGCAACTTTCACAGAGCAGGGATGGGTAGGTGCTGCTTGAGAACTTCCTGTGGCTGCTGTTGCAGCCTTGTAACAGCAAGAGCTTGTATGGATGCCCAAGAGTACTCCCCACCACTCCTCAGACTCACCTTAAAAATTACACCCCCCGCAGAAGAGCACGTCAACATATAGTTGCCTTCAGAGTCAAAAGCAAAAAGCCTTCCTCGTGGGAACTGGACTTGCTTGTAGCCACTGTACCCAGACAGAACAAAAGGACCTGTGGCTTCGCTGGGAAGATTGTACTCTGACACCTTCGAGCCACTTTTGTGAATATTCCACTGAATAAACTAGAATGACAAAAAGAGATGAAAAAAAGCCTATAGTTAAATTAATTGGGATGAAAGCAGAGGGGCCATTTGTTGTTTTTCAGCAATGTGGCTATTCCCCACAAACAGAAGATGGCATTTTGACATCTGTATCTAAGTGGCTATATTTATAAAATGCAGGCTGCAAAAGCTGTAAGAATGCCCACTGTCAAGGCAAACACATGCCCTACCTTCTATGAGCACTGCTGCCTATGTGTCCTTCCACACTACATGCAGGATCCTGGTGGGAATTCCCTTAACGCTCATAAGCCAAGGACCCACAACTTCAGGCAGTCTCCCTCCCCGAGCCATACGTCTGCTGCTGAAGCCTCTGGAACTGCAGAAACTGAAGCCTGTATTATAAGCCACAGGGAGCTGCTAACAAGGAAATTTATGTGAAGTGGTCAAGGATCTTCTCCATGTTAAGTCCCAGATCAAAAATTTGGTGATCTAAGGGGCACAGAAAGGTCATCTTCACATGGATTCCCTAGGAAGGGGTTGTCACCAACAGCAGGATTTGCAGACAAGGTCTGAGACAGCTCCATCAGTTAATATGCTTTCCGGCCACTCTCTCTGCAGAGACTGCATACAGCAGGGTGGTACTGCACACCTAAAACTACAGTTAGCAGCCTGCAGATCCTCCACATTCTGAGGGTTTCTGTACTGCTATCCCCACCATATGGAGAAGACTGCAGAAGGGGTCTCACTTCCAGCTGACCAGTAGAAGGTCACTCAGAGCCTACCTTGCCATCCTCGCCTATGCTGTAGACTGTGTTCTCGTCATAGCTGAACTCAACAGAGTAGACTTCCCCATCGTGTGCCTTCCAGCTCATGGCGCACTCGTGCTGCTGCATATCTGAGGGGAGAACCAGTACTGAACGCTCCTCATACTCACACAGAGCTGAGGTGAACAGAAAGAGGCCCTTTACATTCATAAGGTGTCCTGGTTTGAGCTAAATAGAACCAATTCTCTAAAATTCTCCCTAACCACAACATAAGGTCTCTGTCCCAGCCCTCTAAGCTAACCTGGGGAGCCCAACCCAATCCCAGCACCCTGTGCTTATTCTCCAGCATGTGGCTTTTACACTGGCCCCAAAAACCATTGCCTGTAAATAGTTACCTCCTCCTCCTCCAACTTTACAGGGCTGCTCACATGCTCACTGTCAAGTGCAGGCATTCTGCATCCAAGCCTCACTGCCACCTTTCTTCTTCTCCTCCCCTTGCTATCCTGTCCACCCCCACAGTTGCTGCCAGCTCTGTTTTCTCACAGACCTTAAACTGCTGCCTCCAGCTCAGCACTTGGGCCAGAAGCAAATGCCTCATTCACAGCAGGAGAAGGTCCAAACTGCCTTTATCACAAGGATGGACTAAAACGAGGACAGTCCAGACTCTGTCCCCCAACTGAGGACACCAACAGGCCCCCTCACTGCCCAATTTAAACGTACCAAAGAGACGAACAATCCCATCTGCAGCCCCCGTGACCAGCAGGTTGCCGTTGTGGTTGAAGGCTGTGCAGTTAATAGCAATGGGGTCAGGCTCCAAGGAGAACTGCAGCTGGAAGGGAAAGTCTGCATTAATGCTGAGAAATGGAGCTGGGGGTGCTGAGGAGCTGATCTTCAGAGAAGGGAGGAAAGACAGTATTTAGAAGCAAGAACTCCTCCAGCCTGGAGCCCTACACCTCTCATGACTGTAGACTTCAAGGTTGGCAGCTGCATTTTACTGTGACACTAAACCAACAATTCACTTCAGTCAAGCCACAGCTTTCTTGACCATGCCCTCAAGGTTGCAAAATCAGCTTCTGGAAGGCAGCAACATACTCAAGCTAGTTTCTCCTACATGTCAGGGACAGCATTTCTTAAGGGCAAAAGCAAGGGATAGGACAAGGATTCCCTGCCAGAATCTGATCCATCTAAGTTGAAACAATGGAGAAGATGACACGAGATGAAATCTCTGAAAGCAGCACTTCACTTAAAAACAGAGAAGGCAGAGAAAATGGCAGCAAAGAAAACCCTTCAATATAGCTCAACTGGAGAAAGCCTGAGCAAAGCATCATTCAGTACACTGGAGACATTTCCAGTCATAAACTGTGCGGGCAGGATAGAAACAAGGCTACAGACTATTTTGAAGAAACCCTCAAAAAAACCAACATACCAACAAAAACAACAACCCCCACCCAAACCCAGCAGCTACTTACACAAAGAGGAAGGGTGAAAAAAAGAAGAGTATTGAAAAGAAAGTCAGCATAGTTTAGTAAGAGGGCTCCTACACACTGAAACAGAAGACACTCATTCTCAGCAAGCAGACTGAGAAAGGAGAGAAACCCAAGTACCTGCTGCTTCATTGTCTTCGTGTCCCACAGTAGCAGCTTCCCAGGAACTTGGTTCATGCTTTTGCCCCTGGAGCTGACTGCTGAGAAGTCCATATGGGAGATGGGGCTGTGGGCTGCCGCAGAACAAACAAAGGATGCACCGCTTGGGCTGCAGGCAAGTGAGAGGATCCTGCAACACAGCAAACAGCCTGAATTGCCTCTCTCCAGCAGCTGCCTCAAGCACAACACTTGACTACGAGCTCTCCTATTAAGACCCTGCAAGACAGGATGCACTGTGAAAGAGGGCAGGATACATGTGCTTAGAGAAATTTTGAGTGTATCCCATTTAGCTAAGCGTTTTTACACTGCTCAGATAGGGACTGCCCTCTGGATGAGGTCTAGATAGACCTGCAGTTGCAGGAAAGGAGCAGGAACACTGATACCTCTCCTAACTTTTCACAGTCAGAAAAAAAAATATATATATATAAAAAAATCAGTATTCCAGTTACCTGGGCATGTCTTCATCAATGCTGATTTCACAGAGATTCTTCTTTGCTTCTGTGTCATAAAGACGAACTGTCCCGACCCCACTTCCAAGCAAGAGCTTGAAACCAGCAAGGAGGAGATGGAAGGAGTGTGAGTACAATGATGCTGTCCAACAACCACCAACACCACAGAATAAATTTTTTCCTATTTATGCATTCAAACTAAACATCACTCCATTAGGGTACATCTTGTCTTTCTGTGCATATCACACTGATTAGGACTACCCCAGAGCCACAGAAGTCAGAGTAAAAGCACTGCTTTCCAGTGAGAAGAAGATCTGATAGGCACAAAGGTGGAGTAAAAGCCACTTTCTAGACTATGGCTTGACATTAAAGGTACAAAACATACGTGAAGTCTTAGCATCTAAGGGAGCAAGGAAAGAGTAACACAGAATTAATAAGTTTAAGAGAAAACCAAGTAGAAGCCACCTCTTTTCATCCAGGGGAGAATGAAAACATTCAGAAGGGCTCACACATGCTTTATCAGTCGTGCTACAATTCAAATCAAAAAGTAAAACCATGGAGGGACGCATTATCAAAGAAAAAGAAGCAGATCCTTCAGAGGCTCCTTCAGAGGCTCATTTGCTGCTGAATGCCCATATATTTCAAAAAGAAGAATCTTTCGACCAGCAAGCAGGAAATAAACTCCACAAAGCAGAAGAAACATCAGAACAACTGCATGGACAACTTCCTTTCTAAGAGCAGAAGAAAAGAAAGAGACAAGCTGTAGCACCAGCTCTTCACAAGTGGCATTTTGGGGTTAGCAGTAACACATTGTCAGTGCCAGCATGTGAACAATATTCCCTCAGTTCAGGCCTGCCTGCTCGCACAGCCCTGTCTCTTTGCCAAGGGAGGGCATCAAACAGCAGTTCTAGGGCTCAGAAGAATGCACATAATTTAAGGCTCCTCTCTAGTAACAGAACTAGAGAAAAAGCACTATAGGAAACATTTAAACTCATGATATTTAAACAACCCCTGAGCTCCTTATGCACATACCAACCCCCAATCCAAACTGGCTGTGGAGCACTTTTCACACTGGTACAAGCAGAATACCAACACCATTCCCCTACTCCTCAGCCCGGCTCTCCCTTCTCTGCTTCTGGCTCAGGGTGTGACACTCTGCAGTTCCCTAGTGCAGGGTTCCCATGCGCCGTTGTACCAGGTTGCCTCTGCCTGCCTTTACAGGTGGCTGCCTGCTCTGCCAGGAGAGAAGCGCTTCTCTTAAAGGAGCTACTGTCACCCTGCAGCTGTACCCACACCGCAGCTTGAGAACTTATGTCTCAGGGCAACCAGTGGTGAATTCCTTGCTCAATACACAGAGCACACTCCCGACTCAAGTTTTTCTCGGACCCTACAGGCTTCAGTTCCCCATGTCCCACTGAAGTGGAAACTAACTGTTGCCCTAATCTTATCCACAATGCAGCTGTCTAGAAGTTAATGGGCAACAGGTAGCAATACAGCCCCAAAACATCTGTCATGACTCTCGAGCTTCCACACGCACACTACTCACCAGCCGATCACGCTTGGTCGCCCATTCCAGAGACAGCAACGGAGATTTGGAAATGGATGAAGCTTTAGTTTGCATTATGGGGTTAAAAGACCAGACTTTGATGACCCCATCCACATCCAAGCTGGCCACCCTCCGTCCAGAACAATCAACCCTATGTGCAGAAGGAAACTGATCAGATATTTTTCTCCCTAAAGTTCATCAATGTAAGTAGATACCCCAGTAGTCCTCCTTCTCCTGGCCACACACCAGTTCCTTCTGTGGGAGTCAGAACTTCCTGCAGTCCACAATAACTGGCACAATGAAGTGCACCAAGCTCCGCATGCAAAGCAACACCATCCTGCTTTCCCAGAGAGTTTCTTCCTGGCTGGCATCTCCCGGTCACAAAAATCCCAGTCCATTCTCACTGCACAAGCTACAGGCTGTTTTCAGTCACACCAACTCAACTGCCCTACAACTGCGGGTACGCGCACAACACACTGGACAGCACAGATGCTGTGAGAAAGAGACCAGTTGTGTCTAAGCTGGTCCTCTACAGAGGCTTCTATGAGAAAGTCCTCTTCTGCCAGTCAGTTACCTGCAGTACATGATGGATGAATGGTGCTCCCCATATTCCTCCTGGCTCAGGACGATGAAAGGCTGCTCCTGCCGGACCCCCACAGCCTCTCCAGTGCTGGCAGGTATTTTGGTTGAAGTCTCCGCTTGTTCAGTGTGTGGCTCTGAGCATGGCTCTGTCTCAGCTGTGCTGATATCGGTTTTCTTCTCAGCACTTTGGCCCTGAAGGAAGAAATCCTGTGTGAAATACAAGGAAGCAGCAGCTCCAGATCAAGCTCTTCAGTCACCCCTGCCTGCTGGGAGAAAAAAACAAGAAGCTGCACTGAAACAGAAGCACTGTCAGTTCAACACCCCTCCTGCCAGGGACCTTTCTGAGCAAAACGATAGTGCATTGCACAATCACACCATTTAATAAGGCCTCCTTGGTTGTAGAGTCCCTTATAACCCCTTCCATGTGCCTAGCCATACATATTATTTAAGAATTAAAAGAACCACAACATCTCTGTTTGGCATATCTCAGCTCATATCAGAGGCCCATTTCGATGGCATCAGAACATAGATTCACAAGTAAATAAACATATTTTAAGGAATCCTTGCATTTAGCAATGTAAGTTAACCCTGTAAAATATGCAGTTCAGTAAGCCTGCACAAAAACTCTTGTTGGATGGTTAGCCCCAGGGGATGGATTACCCCCATCTGCCAGAGATTTAGTCTGTGCACACTGGGCCAACCACTGTGGTCAACTGACTGATGGCAATGGTAGACCCAACACATGAGTCCCAAAGCTTAAAATCCAACTTGTTAGGGCAGACAGAACAAATGGAGTTTTAGGAGCTGAAGGTGTCTGCACTGCAGCACACAGAAGTATTTTGAAAGCAGCTTACAGTCTTCCCTTACCATCAGAAGCTGAACAAGAAGCAGACACAGCACATAAGCCAGTAAAACATCTGCAAACGTTCCTTTGCTAAACCATAGCAGATTAAATGCTGCAAAATGGTATTGGTGTTTGAGTAATCATAGAATCATTTAGGTTTGAAAAGACACCTTAAAATCCTTGGGTCCAACCGTAAACCTAACGCTAAACCATGTCCATAACTCACGTCTTCTAAATATTTCCAGGGATGATGACTCCACCACTTCCCTGGGCAGCCTCTTTGAGTGCTTGATAACCCTTTAGGTGAAGAAATTTTTCCTAATATCCAATCTAAACCTCCCCTGGCACAACTTGATGCCATTTCATCTGCAACCTCCATTCAGGTGGTTGTAGGGAGCAATAAGGTCTCCATACAGCCTCCTTTTCCCCCACACTAAACAACCTCAGTTCCCTAAGCCCCTCCTCAGAGGACAACCCTTTACCAGCTTCACTGCCCTTCGCTAGAGGTCCTCCAGCATCTCAGTGTCTTTCTTGTCGTGAGGAACCCAAAATTTAACACAGTATTTTTGAATTCCTGTTCCCTAGCACATCTTTGCCCTATTTATAGTAGCTTCACATCCTGAGCAATGGATCAAACACTGCCTAATCAAATCATCTGAAATAACAAAGCTAGAAAAGACTGGGTAACAAATTCAAGAATTACTCTCTCTGTATTAGTTAATGTGTGGAGATAGCAACCAATAAAATACACTCTTGAAAGAAAACAGTGCTGCTTTTCAGGCTCCTTCAGTTTCAAATGTGTGGAGAACAGCAGAAAGCTGAACAGTATCAGCTTTCCCTAGAGCACCAGAAGGAACTTTTACAAAGCCAGGAAAACACTGCCTTAACCTGGAACATCACAGAAAAAGGAAAGTCAAAAGGTCCTTATGGGGAAACTGGGCTTTGCAATTTCTGACCAATGGTTAATTAAAATGTTTTAGATGAAGCAAAAAGAAAAAAGTTCTCTCATAGCCTTGAATGCCCAATGGAAAGCAGGGCACATCCCCAGGCAAAACTGCAACATACAGTGCAAAAAACTCCAAAAAGCAAATGTTGCTATGAAGGATATTTCCACTCCTATCCAGGAAAACTTTTATCAAGTTTTATCTGTCTCACACAAAGCCTACACAAACCAGCACAAGTACCCACAGGACAGAACTCACTTGGGCAGGATAGGTGAGCCAAGTCCATTGCCATGAAGGAACGGGGATTATAACAAGATATTTGAACATAACCATTAAGGTCAATGAAACATACCCTCCCCAGGACCAGGCTGTTGAACAGGACAACAACAGGAGTTGATTAACTACAGAGATTAACCTTTGATACAGTTAGATCAGAAAAGCTTAAACGGGAACACTTGCACTTGTTTTACGGTCAAGCACAACAAACTACAGAAATACCAGCCCTCTGCTTCCCAGCCTTGCAGCATTGCCCGGTACCTGGGAGGTCCCTTTCGACAGCAGCTCCTTCCTTTCCTTCCCGTGCTCTTGCAAGCGCTTCTGCCGGTGCTGCAGGGAACTCGACTCACCTGCTACTAACCCACTGAAGTGGCTCTTCCCATCCTTACTGCTCGCTATTCCTTCTTTTCCTTTGGCACTCTGGAAGGAAGAGGGACGATGTGGCAAAGTTAGGCTTGTGCCAGGCTGCACAACAAAGAGCAAAAGAGGAGGCAAAGAAACCAAGCACCTGCAAGGGCTCCACAAGCCCCCAGACAACAGCAGCTGTTCTTGTGCTGCATTCAGGCACAGCACACACTTGCAAGGAAGGAAAAGACATTTCATTTTTTCAGGTGGAAGCAAATGGTTGGAGCAGTGCTGTGCTGCAAGTTAACTCCTTAGACACTGAGCACCTTTCAACAAACACAGTTGAGAATTACCTGGTGATTTGTTGGTTCTTTCTTCCCTAGCAGCATGCTGCCAGTCTGTGTTGGAGAAGCCCCACTTGGATGGGCTGGTCTGGAAGGGCCCTTTTTACTCTGGGAGAGAAAAGAGGACAGAAAGCCTCCCCGAGACTGAAGAGAATGTGCAGTACTCCTCTGGCTGCAGGTCATATCACTAATTAGCAAAAAAAAACAAAAAACAAAAAAAAACCCAACAAAACATTTTAAACAGAATATGGAAGTGTAGCCAGACAACCTGATCAAAGCCCACCCAACAAGTGAAGTGCCAGCTGTTTGAACCACTGGAGGACAGACGTTCCTTTCCAAGATGACAGACCACTATGCATTAAAAAACTGTTTTAAACCATTCTGCTAGTGCCTGGAGCAGATCACTATAATTACTGTAACCAAAACTCACTTCTCAGAGATGCCACTGAGACAGGGGGCTCAACTGTTGCTGAATCTCCTGTAGGGCCACCTCAAACTCCTTCCACTCCATCTGGTTAGTTTAGAAATACAATCTATCTCTGTTTATCTTCTTTTCTAGGAAGGAACTGTTCTACCAAAGCTGGGCTTCAGGTTGAGCAGAGACATGGAAAAAGCAACCAGAACTGGCCTCCAGACTAAGTGACAAGCTGCACACACAAAAAATGCCACTTCTAAGGCAAGAATTTCCTAATACAAATGGACAAAAATTAATATGGGAATAAATCCCTCATGTCACACTCTCCCACATGTGCAGATGGACATCAGGGCTTTCCACACAGAGTATTTAAACAAACAGACAAGAGCCTCAAATTAAATTCTGTAGCCCATCCTGTGCAGAGAGTGTAGAGCAGTTATCAGGATAGTTCAGACACATCTATTTAATCAGACAACTTTTAGACTAAAACAAAGACTTGGTGTGTGGTCTCTGCTACAACTTCTATTTCTCAATTTCATGACGATAATTGATCAATCCCCCTCCTGTCTGAATAGAAGTGAAAAACCAAGTGAGAAAGTCAAAGCCCCAGCAGTGTTATTAATACCTTGTGGCAAAGCTATGTTTGCTTTCAGATTCTTTTAAAACAAGAAAAAAATCTCAATTACACAATGAATTCAAACACACAAACTTGCTTTGCATGACTGTGTAGCAGGGGGGGGAAAAAGGTTTAAATAACGATTAAACAAGTGGTATCACTGTGCATGTTGCCTAATTTCCACAGATGGGAGTATAACAGATGGAGCCATTAAACACATTTGAACTGCACTTGTGGGGAATTCTGTGCACAACTGAGCCACGCAGAAGAGAAACTCCTTTTCCATTGACTTTGTGAAAGCAAGAAAGCATCTCTGCGTGACAGTGACCCCTTTGGGTCATACAGTAATACTGTCTACAAAATAACATAGGGTACTTATCTACTGCACTGCAGTCACTAGAAAAAAAAATAGGGGTCAAGAGGCAATCTACTTCATCTGAGCAATACAGCAGGGTATCACACTGCTGCCAGTGCCCTGGCTGCCTAGAACCCCGTGGCATAATGCTGAGAGCAGAGCAGAATCACTTCCATGTGTGCTTGGGCTTTTACTGATTGGCAAGAATCCCTCTCCCAAATGGCCTGTCATGAATTTCCCCATTAAACCCACTTCAGTCACCAGAATTTCTGCCTGGATGACTTTCTGCATTGATTCCCAGGGCAGAGAATGAGGAAATTACCCTCCAGGAGCCTCCCTGACCCAATAAAAGCAGCAGAGCCTGTCCACAGCTCCTCCCCTGCAAGCACTCACAGCTCAGAGTCCCCCAGTCGATCCATGTTGGCCACATACGTAGGCAACTTGTGATGCACAACTGCTTGTTCCACCTCCAGTTCCTCCTTCTTCATGCGGGAGGATTCAGCTTGCAAAGCAAACAGCTACAACAAGAGGAGAGAGCCAAGTAAAGAGAGGGTCACTAAGATTCCCCTCCTTCCTGCTTGCTGAAGTTGTTTACTCCTTTTATTTCAACAGCTCTAGAAGGGTGGGAAGAAAGTTGTTCTGACTCACTGAGCACCACATCAGTCCAAGTAGTCAAAAACAATCAATACTTCACGCACTGGAGCAGACTTAAAACCCTTCTCTCCTTGGGCTGTTGCTGTAGGTACATGAATGGTGCTGGGAAATGAGAGAGCCAGCCAGGGCAGAGCTGCTCAGCCATTCTGTGCAGACAGTTCAAAGCCAGGGCAATGCATGTGACTGACAGCAGCAATGTATGGGCACCGAGCCTAGAAGGTAATCTTCTTCCCACAGCCCAGGGTTTGGTGAGCTGGCAGGGTGCTCTGAGGCCAATCCCATCCGGTCACCCTGAAATCCAGCTCCATACCCTGCCCAGCTCTCTCACAAGCATGCCAGTAAGATTTATCTCTGCATTATGGAGAAAGAGACATTTTTCTTCCCCCCTTCCTTCCTTAGCAGAGAGGAACCTCAGGATGCAGCTTTCTGTGACGGATGTGGTTTATGCCTGTGACTCTTGTTCACATTAAGAATTCCTCAGACTTTTCTGTTTCCGTACATTTGTTTTCAGATACAATTCTTTTTTTTTTCTTTTATCATAGTATGTAAGGAAACAAATTACAAGAAAAAGGAGCTTTAGAAATCCAGCTTGTTATTCATGTATTCGTATTGTTTCAACAGTGAAATCAGAATCACTACTCAATTTCAACCAGTAGTGAATTCAGTATTTATTCATACTGGTTTTTTTTATTTAAAGCTGCATTCTATAGGTAGCTGCTTCCTTTTCCAACCTGAGCAGCCCTCCAAAAAGCAAAGTCTAGTTTTACCTCTGCCTATTTGCCAGAGAATGCTTATCCAGCCTGTAAGTGGTATCAGTCAACATACCACAAACAAAAAAGAGCTTTAATTTGACTAAAGTACAGAATACAAAATTGGAGGAAATAAAAAAGCTCTATTTCAAAACATACCTTATACTGCTGTCCCTATTCACTGGCCATCTTTGTAGAACCCTCCTGTCAAAGCTCACCTGATCCACTGACTCCATACAGTACAGAGAGACAAACCTCTTTAAAAAAAAATAAAAAAGCCTCCTTCTTGAAATCAAGGATTCTATTTTACTTCAACATTTTTCGGACAAATGAACAGTGGTGATCAGCTACCAAAGCAGTTGAAACAGGAAGCACAACATACAACATAGTGTTTTGTAACACAGGAGGTAAAGCACATAACTTTACTGAAGTATTCATACAGAGAGAGCTTTTGCTTGTCATGTTTGAGGAAGTGAAATTAAAGTTGTGCTTAGATGAATGTGGTTTCCCATTTGTATGGCATCATCCAAGTGTGATCTGTGGTTTAGAAAGTTCTTAAACTTCAGATTTCTGGAATCTCTCTAATAGGAAATTATTCTTGGAAAGGGCCAACCTGTGCTACATATTCTTACACCCTCTCTCAGCATCTGCTGATGATACTGTCAAAAGAAGACATGAAGCTGGGCAACATCCTGTCTGAACAGGTCAGCCTTTCTTAAGAGTTTACTGTCAGGTCTAGGTTTGGGAAACAGACGTTCACAACATTTCCATTAGTTGATCTAAATTGCTCTAAGTGTACTTCAACTGTGGTGAAGTGGCTATTTCAGAAGTAATGGTTTCTGCCTCTCTGCCAGAAGTTATTGCCCATTTCTACTGCTCCGTCAGCTAAAATCTGGAAGTGACTGAATACAATTCACAAATTTCCATGCAAAGGCAGCCATATATGCCCTTAACCTGCCAATAGCTTCAGCTTGTCTTGACTTTGCAGTGTAGCAGGAAGGAGTCTGCACAGTATCCAGCCATCTGTCAGATGGCACAGGGAGAGAGGGACAGTCACCTCCAGCGGAGGGACAGGAATGCCCTAAACAGACATTTCACAGTATGATCCCAACAAAGAACTTATACAACGATCTGCCTTGCAATAACTGCACGGAACCGAACAGTTACAACTTTCTTGAATGCATGGAACCAACTCAATAAAACTCACAGCCTCACACAGTCAGCAACTAAAGAGCTACTTCAGTTCTGACCTTATGCCGCAACGATTCATTTTCTTCTTGTACGAGACTGCTCCTGAGGCATTCAGCTTCAAAGTTCAAAATTACTGGAACTGGTAAGGAATGTTAAAGAAAAACAAGGCAAGAACATGTATGCACCTCGCTTAAATCTAAAAGCCAGCACTTCGTACCAGCCATTTGCCTGTAAGACAGCAAAGCTGCCCAGTCCACAGTACTAGCAAGGAATACGTGCAAGGCCTTAGGACTAATAACAGCGTGGTTACCTAAGCCAACTTCGTCTTTCTTTGTACTTGACTGTTGCACAAACTATTCCACATAGGCTTTGCAAGGATTTTTAGATCTTTCCTTTTTACATGTCAGGAACAGAGGATAAGACAGGTTATGTTACTGTATTAGCATACACTGAAGAAACAGTTCAGGATGAGTTGTATTCCAGCTGCAGCGTAAACCTGCCCATCAGCAAACAAAAGCTGTTATTTCTGCCAATGTTGAACTGCCCTATTACAGTGAGATGTCATCAGACAACGTTGAAACTATGCATACCCAGAGAAGGGTCTAAGAGGAGATGCTGGTTCAGTTATGGACTATGACCCAAGGTTGCACTCCTGGTTTGTACTACACCAAGCGAAGAGGAAAAACGTTTCAGAACAAGATGTGCATAAGACTTCTAGTCACTAGCAGAGGAATGAGTTCAGCATTAGCAACAATCACCACTGTTTGTGACCAGGGAATATAACAGATCATCAGATAATTGAACAATAACTATTCCAACATCCTCTGGTAAACACCAGCTCCTATTAAGTCTTGGCTCTAAGCAAGTTTTGTAATGCTATATTCTTGGCACCACTGTTAATAGTAAGCATAACACTAGGGCAAGGGAAACTTAACTATTAGTTGCAAAAAAGGATATGCATGCACTGGAACAAGACGCTCAGGAAGTTGTGCAGAGACACAATAAACGTATCTGCCCACTGGCGCGAGAAATAGGTGGCGAAGGTGGGGTTGGAGTCTGGGGCAGGGAGGAAGGGCAGGACAAACCAATCCTTCCACTCTGTCTGGTTCTGGAGCTCAGAGGCCTGCTTGAGGAAAAACTCCTGTGCCTTGTCATTGCGGCCAGTCTGAAACACAGCAAGAAGAACAGGGCTCACACTTCCACTCATGCCACCACGTGGGTTCTACGAATATTTGCTCCGTGTTACGAGAAGCCTAACAACTACTTCCACCGCCAACAGAGCAAGTGGTTAGAGTTAAAAGATTCATCTAGGAACAAAAGAATCCCAAGTATGCTAGGAGAAGCTCACAAATGCATTTAATCCAACCTTTTTTCTAGTCTCCACAGTCTTGTTTAAAGGCTGAAGCAAAACAAAGTAATTACTTAACACTGATTTTCAATTAAACTAGTGTAGTTAGTGCACTGACATAAGATGTGAGCACTTGTATACAGGTCCAAAGTATACTTGAAGTTACTCCAGTCTACAGCAGATGTAGCCTGAAAAGGTTTCCATCTGGTATGTTATTCAGACAGGAGAGTCACACCTCAGGGTAAGCGCAGGGCAAAACAAAACTTTAAAAGAATGCACTTTTAGAGATGTGCATTATTAGATTTTGTCTCCTCCACCAACATCCATCTTTTCAGATTTTCAGTCAGGGAATGGAATCAAGGAGGACACATTGCTTCCAAATGGTAAGAAATGAAACATTAATGCATGACATGTATTTGTCTGTTCTGTTTGCCAAAGCCCACCCTGTGTAATATATTCCATTGCTTTTACTGGGCTTTCAACAAGAGAATCTCTGCTCCATTTTAAACTCATTCTTTTCTGTACTACTCAAAAGCAAACAAAAAAAAAAGTACTCCTTTTCTCTCCCATATCACCTTGTACAGATTTGAAGCCCACTTCTCCTGTCTCTTATAAACTAAAACTCAACTCCACCATCTCCAAGTCACCTTTTTTTCTTCTGGACCCTCCAACTCTCCAACTCCCACGATGCTTTAAGAACTGTGGTGCCTGGAAGGACTGGCTGCGTGCTGCCAGCAGGTTAGATTGGAAGGAGTACAAACCTGCTGCAATACAGACAATCCTGCCAGTTGGTCCACAGTGCTGCAATAAGGCCCTTCCCTGCACTGCTGCTGCCTGCTCAATCCTTCCTTATTCTGCATTGGTGCAGTTGACTACTCCTACCTACGTACAGGGGTTTGGGGCTTTTTTCTGCCCATTTCTTCAACTTACAAAGATTGCTTTGAGCACTGTTCTCATCCTCCTTTGTCCTCATGGCAATGCCCACACAAAGAGGTGTTTACAAACCTTGTAATCTTTCCTGGTATCCAAGTTATTAACAGAGGCTGAGCAGGACGGAGCTAGCAGTACAGCTATTCTGTCTGAGGGGAGCTTGCTTTCATGTCTGAGTATCTTGCTCCCAGCTAAGCATATTTCCCTCTTGTCTCAGCTTCCCTATCCTGCTTACAGGCTTGTCATGTGAGTCTGTGTCAAACTCCTTACTACACTCCTGATACATGACACATGAATGGCTTGTCCCTTACCCACCCAGCCCATGAAGAGGCTCACAAGGGTGTTTCATTGCTGTGGTTTCAGATCTTTGGAAAACAGAAGCCTAAAGATCAAACACTACCTGAACAGTGTGGACGAGGTAGTATCGAAATAAGCTGGTTTTCAGCTTGTTCACTGTTGGCCGGTACACATCTTCCAAACGGCTGAAAAGGCGTCGGTCCAGATAACTCCAGTAATCCCGCAGGGCGGCAAGGTCGTAGCTTTGAATGAACTGCTGCAGCTGCTCCACTATCTTATCCACCTAAAGAGGGCAAAATAGGGAAGACTGCAGTCACATCACGGCTCATCTGGCACTGTAACTTCTGTAACTTAACGCCGAGAAGCCTTAACTGCACAAATAATTCTACAATCCAGCACTTTTGCATTAGCTGTTTTCATAATCTGGGAAACACTCCGCATTTGTTGTTAGCATCCCTCCACTCTGCAGAAACTTTCAAATAAAAGAAGAAACACGAAAGAACACAGCCAAATGAATTTTGACAAAAAAGATCACATTTTGTTAAACAGAGTTGGTAGAGTTCTTTTGCAAGTAAACAAAACTATCCACTTCTTTTAAAAGTCAGCTGACAATGAAAAAACAGGAATAGCGTGATTAAATATTGAAAACTCAAGTGCAGTACCTGGAAAATACTATTATTTTTAGACTAAAAGGAAAAAAATGTCAACAGAAAGAGGAAAAAGGATCTGTTGTACTGCAATCTTTGAAGTACCTTTAATAATATCATCTACTAAAAAGGCAGGCATAACAGTTTCCAACAATTTTTTTGGACATAATGTCTCTTTGAAAATAATTTCTGCAATATGTATAAGGCAGAATGGTGGTGTGGTAATAGATTTTTAGTTCAGTGATTTCTGATGGCCAAGACAGGCATCAGAAAAATAAAAAACCTGGACCCTATACAAAACTTAACTACCAAAATTGTTTAATATATGGTTTGCTCCTGTCTCATCAGTTAATGTCTTAGGACATCATCCAGCCTCTATTTCTGTGGCTGCCTACAGATAAAGGAAACAGAAGTCTCTGACCTCAGTAGTCCCTTCTTGATTTTGTCATGGACAACATTATCCCAACTAAATCAACTGTTTGCTGACCTCTAAACATTAGCAAAGTGCTGGTGCTTTTAAAATAAAAGCAACATGTTTTATGAATGATAAAGGTAGTGGCTGTACAGCTGGTTAAAGAAAAACCTGACTGTTCAAAACACAACATTCAGTGCCCAGAACAACTGCTATGGGAACACAAAGCTCACACAGAGGACTGAAACTTATTTTTCGAGGCTGGCAAACTCTGTGCTAATTTTCACTCATCCAGCAAGTCGCTGGTGCTTAAAACATCCACACTAAGGAGCAATGCTACAAAACTGCTGGATAAAAATTTCACGACCAGGAAAAGATGCAGGCAAAGAGATGCCTTCCCCCTGCTGCCCTCTCGTATTCGCATCTCCTCCCTTTCGCTCAACAGCAAGCCGAGAATCCTCTGGTGGTTTTCAGGTCTGACGTAGGGTCCGCAGACGGGCGGGTTTGGACAGGCCGAGCAGTCTGGGCCGAGGGGATGGAGCCCATCGCCCACCACCACTGCCCTGCGCTGACGCCGCTTCGGAGACAAGGAGAAGAAGCCTTCAAACGACTAAAGCCCCCACACCGGGATGCTGCGCGTACATAACCGGCG